ATGTATTTAGATCGAAGTAAAAGAATCATGGATGATGATAACAGCTTTATAACACCATGTTTTTTTATAAGTTGTGACAATTGATAAAGCTCTGATATAGATACACACACACACTGAACCTGTTAACTGATGCAGACAGTCAAAGGCATTGTTGAAAGTGTCAGAATGAGATATTAAGTAGGTAAAACAGAGAGTAGGATAAAATCCGCACAAAATCCGTGTTAAAATCTTCAAGGTCGAGTTCTGAATATAGATCTTTACTGATAGATGGCGCCATCGGTGAGTCATTGATCATCGATAGTCATGATAATATATAATACGTTGTAATAATAATAATATAATATAAAGTAATATAATATTATATATAAAATGATAATAATAATATAAAAGAAATGAAAATAGATAATAGAATAACATAATAAATAAAGCGAAATAAAACGCGATAATGTAAAGTAACACGGAAAAAAAATAGAGAAAAAAAATGATGTCGTCGTCAACGGAGACGTGCGCCTTGTGTTTTCAGATAAGGCGGACACGGCGTTCTCGCGCTCGCGGAGCTCGAGCGTCTCCAGTCTCGACAACGTGTCGTCAGAGGCAGTACAATGTCTGCTGTTTGTCGACTCCTACACGCGAAAAACAGGTGAGCATTCGCTGTTGTCACATCGTACTCCTATATGCAGAAACAGGTGAACATTAAACACTATTACGTCATCATTTCACTACTAACAGTTAACCCTTTTCCTCTAGCGTGGAAGACTTCAAGGATATACTTAGTGCTGCTTGCATGTACTTTTGTAATGGCAGGTGTTTATATTATTGTAGTTTATTATTATTATTGTTGTTGTTGTTGTTGTTGTTGTTGTTGTTGTTGTTGCTTATTGTTGATATTATTCATTGTTGTTATCTAATATTACTTTTCTTGCTGTCCACCCTTGTTGTTTGCCATTGTTGTTTATTACAGTTTCTTATTATTGTTGTTGTTGTTGTTGTTGTTATTGTTGTTGTTGTTGTTTGTTGTTGTTGTAGACAACTTCACGGCGCCGTGTTTGTGGTTCGGCACGAACCTCGGCTCCGTGTTGGCGATTATACTGAATCTTCCGCCTCTCGGCGAACAGCGAATGTCTCAGCCAGTCATCGTGTCGGCGAGTGGTGAGTATGTCGCGGTGTTTGCCGGTGTATACGTTGAGAAGTACTTATACACATAGACAGATAGATCTATCTATTTAGCTATCTGTCTGTCTGTCTGTCTGTC